TTTTGAGCCAAAGGCTTTGGTTGAGGACCCTAATCGTCCCCCTGTCTGGGTGTGGGCGCCCTAGCAGTATCCCAGCCCTCGTACAACCATGACCTACACAACTAACAATATTCTCATGCCACATCGGCCGTCGCGGGGTGCCATCAGCCGGGTCGCCTTACTTGCTGCATACAGCAGGGCGGGTAAGCGAAAACATGCTACTGCTGACGCCTCCCTTCTTACACTTTCACGTTTTCCGTCTTCCACCCTCCCCCGCCCAAATTTGAATACTTTATCCGCAGGTCCCAGCTCCAGGACTGACCGTTTTGCTCGCCCTGCATCACACTCAGCTGCAGCTTCTGCACGTCCGAGTTCAGTTACAACCCTAAACACTTCGAAGTCTGTTTTCAAACCCCGAAAGCCTGTCTACTTAGCCACTTTCAATGTTCGCACACTGAAGCAAGCAGGTCAACAGGTGGCTCTTGCGCGTACGCTGGATTCCCTCTGTATTGATGTATGTTGTCTGTCAGAAACAAGGATGCAGGACGCAAGTACTGTAGGTGAACAGATTTATCTACTGTATCGATTGGCTCACCTGCAAGCATGAGATGTGGATCTGTAGTAGCACTTTACACTTCGCAGGTTTGAAGTGCATACCAAACCATGCGGTAGAGTTGTTTAGGTTATTTAAAGTCGTCCGCATTTGTGAGGGATCTGAACCAAAGAAAGCAATATCGTCTGCTCACTCGATGTCTGCGAGGGAACGTGCCGGGAGCATTACGACTTCCGAGATTTCAGAGATAGGCGGATGAACGACCACTGTCTGCATCCCCGATGATATATCAAGCTAAAACAGCCGCATTCCAAATGACCCCAACTCTAGCTTCCTCGTCGTAGTCGCCTCATCACCTCACTATTCTTTTTCAATATCACAGAACCACCAAGTTTGTCGACTAGTAAAAGTGTCCGTGCTGTGGTGAACATCTACCATATTTTTCTTGAAATGCAGAACTGTCTACTCCAACCCAAGAGGATTACCTCATTCCTGAACAACGTGGCAAATAGGCCGATAGCGCACTCCATAATCCTTATCAACTGTGGCCCGATCGGCACATAACTCGGTAAGACAAACCTGGACGTTGACCCCCTAGCGCCTAATTCCCTTATGGTAGCTACCCCCGGGATTCCTGCTCTGCGGTCCAGAAAATGGTCAAGTTATTCTTTAGATTGTTTCTCTGCCGCCATCTAGGTGCAAGAGACCTCCCCCATGGTTCCAGTAAACTTTCGCTTGTGCTGCTTATGTCAACTAAACCCACTAAATTCCGTATGTGCATCGGGGCGAGATGGACCAAGTGGTTAGAGCGCGAATTTACTGACGGGAAGGTCCGTGTTTCGAACCCGACCTCTGCTTCTCGACTTCCTCTGTCTAGGCTTGGGAAACCTGACTGTATCCCAGTCCTCGTGCCTCCTTCGGGTGGCATGGCAGCTAGGCACCGAAAGGGTGCTACAGCTGGACGATTTATATATGTGCATCTACTTACCATCTGCCTCACATTTTGGCACCAAGTTGCATACTGTTCAGCATAATCTGCCCCCCCCCCCAAACTGTTCCTTGTACCCACCCAACTCAGCACTCTCGCGCTAATTTTCATTTTGCTTATCTTACGCACCACGTCTGTGCCCACTAGCATTTCCAAGAGCATCTCTCCTCTCCCTATTTTGTGGTTTGAATACCTGCATTTTCACAGTCGGAAACCGAATCGCGGTCGGCCTCTCATTCGTTCTTTCTCCTGTCATTCACAAGAGCAACGTAATTCTCTTATCTCTTTGGCTTCAGAAGATGTACAGATCGTTCAATATGTGTGCGTACTGTCCAGTGGAAGCTTACTACACGTGATCTTTTGCGTCTCCTCATCACATCTTCCTGCCTTGGCTCTCACTCCGAGTAATACGCCGACCATTGATACCACATGTTCCAAAATCTGCCTGTCGAACTGCTGCAGTACATTTTCATGCTTTTGTCACCATGCACGGATTTTCCGAACATATCTCAAGTCTGTAGGCGTTGGCGCGATGTTTGTTTGGAAGTCATCAAAATTCGATCGAACATGTGTTTGGCAGCCTATCGTCTTCAAGCCCCACTGAAATGGTGTACACTCAGTTCAGCCTCTCAGCCGACGAAAGGGTCTTCCGTTCATTCTGCGCCATCGAAACGTTTTGGCTCAATGTTGGTAAACAATGGGAAGGCGCTGTATGTATTTGGCGGAGCTACTCATATGCGGACCACTTTTAATGACCTGTGGGTTTTTGACCTGGCTTTTTTGCAATGGAAACGTGTGTTGGGAGATGGTGAGTACCGGTTCCCATTTATTTTTGTTAGATAATACATCTGTCCCAGGATGACTTGTTCGTAAAACTACTCTGAGACGACTACACAGAACCGTCAACTTCACCAAACGGAAAACCAATTTAAATAATGGAAAAGTTATTCAACCTTGGATCACACAGCGTCGCTTGAAGTATGTACGTTGACTTAACTGTGTTACGAGAAAGGATTTTAGGTAGGCTTGGTAGGTTTTACGAGCAATGATGGGAGCCTGAACATCTGGAAATGAGGTTGCAATTGCCCTTAGGCTCGAGTGTACGTGCTGAAATGAGTTGTATTAGCTCTGACGGAAGTGCGTCTGATGAAGTCAGTTGGAGCATCTCAAAGGCTCGAATCACGTTCGCTAATTTGCGTCACTTGTGGCGTCAAAAAGGCATCTCACTGGATCTTAAAGGTCGTGTGTACCAGGCTACAATAAGGGCTGTGTTGTTGTATGGGTGCGAGACATGGCCTCTGCGGACAGATGACGTGAGGCGTCTTCAGGTTTTCGACCACCGATGCCTCAGAAGCGTGGCTGGTTTTGGATGGCGTCAGCGTGTTAGTAACGAGGTGATTGGAAAATGGGAACATATCCAGCATTATCGACTACAATGGCTTGGTCATATGCTGCGCATGCCGAAACACCGTCTACCGAGACGAGTGTTGTTCTTCGTGCCTCCTTCAGGATGGCGCAAACCGCGAGGCGGACAGCACATGACTTGGCAGAAAGGCGTGACGGAGATCACGAAGAGTTTGGGTGTTGTTGATGTTGTACGCCTTCCAGGATAAGGTCCCCGTGACCCTGTCTGTGCTTGGCTGGAGACGTTGCAAGAAAATGTGGCTAATCGATGTCAATGGCTTTCGCGCTGTCAGTTTCTTTCCAGATTGTCTGATTGAGTGGTTGGAGGTGTAGGCACCTCAATACTTGACATAGGCCAGCACTAGGAACCCTCCCCCACCCACTCCCTTTCTCTTCTTTTCACTGCATATTTTTCATTTTCATTTCATTTTTCATTGCATATATATATATATATATATATATATAACTAGACGAACTTTATGGTTGTACGGCAGTGAAGCATCAGTGCCAACACTGATGTTGCTGTCATTGATGATGGTGATGATGATGACTGGTCCTATCCTTCTATGGTTGAGTGACACAGAGAGGCAGATCCGTGAAAACCAAGCTGGGTTCCTTTCTGTAAGAGGATGCATCGATCAAATCTTCATCCTCCAACAGATTCTGGAACAGTGACACTGCTTCTAGCAACCAACAATAGTTGTGTTCCTTGATTTAAAAGCTGCCCTTGGCTCTGTGGTTCGTTAGGTATTATGGCAGTGAATGTGGAGCAAAGGTATCCCCCATAAATTATTGACCCTCATCAAGGCGCTGTGCGCCAGCTCTCGCGACCGTGTAAAGATCTGCGGGAATCTCTCGCCTGAGTTCACCACATCAATTGGTGTTAGTCAAGACTGTCCTCTTTCACCTTTCCTCTTCAATTTCGTCATTGATGCGATTATGAAAAGACTCACTATCAACCTCTAATGCCTGTGGGACTGAAGTTTTCCCGGGTATCGAGTGCGCAGACGACATAGCTCTTCTGGGATCTGGTACGGTGGTAATCCAAATAATATCAAATAACCTAAATAATTCTGCGTCCCGGTTTGACGTGCACTTCACACCTGCAAAGTGTTAAGTGCTACTACAAGGCTGGATGGGCTCGGAACTCGATCTCATGCTTGCGGATGAGCCGCTTGAGGTGGTAGACAAGGTCTGTCTGGGCAGCTGTATCAGTCCTGCTGGTCTGGCAAAAGATGATATTTCCATCCGCATTGGGAAGGCCAGAGTGGTTTTTGTCAACCTGTGTCACCTGTGGCGTAGGCGTGACATCAGCTTATCCGTCAGTGGTCGAGTTTACAATGCTGCGGTGCGATCCATATTAGTATACGGGTCAAAAACCTGGCCGCTGCGCGCCGAGAACGTCAAAAGACTTTCACTGTTTTGCCATCGATATCTTCACAGCGTTGTCCGAGTGGTGGGAACACTGGATCAGCACTGCTGAAGTAAGTGGAGTGGTATTCGGAAGAAATAACTCGATAGATGAACTGATTACACTGCGTTGGTTGTGTTGGCTTGGCCGCTTTCCCCGTATGCTAGTCAATCGACTTCCTCAAAGGGTTCTTTTCACACACCACGTGAAGGGTTGAAAGGAGCCAGGGGTGGTCAAACAATAGCTTGGCAGCGAGCTTTGAAAGCCATTACCAGCAAACTCAGCTGTATTGGTCATTGACCTCCATTGCTTATTATCAGCAGCACGCATTGGGTCTACCACGAATTCGAGGTTGTCTTTGTCTTTCGGCTAAATGCATTTTTTAACCAATTTTCCTGCTCCCATTTTCATGCCCACCCTGTCTCATCTTGTACTTCGTTTTATGTCTGATATGTCCAAGACCTTAGTTGGTCACTATAACTGATTAATGTTTCAATATAATTTCAGCCAGTTGCCCGCTGACCAGAAGCTCCCTTTCTCCAGACTGTCGCGTACGGAGACACGTTTCGCCTTCCGCTGCAATCGAAGAGCCTGTGACCGCTTTTGTGACTTGGGCATTCGACCTCTGCGTTTCCGCTCATTTTCAACGTTGTATCCTCCCAGCCATGTCGTACATGCTCTCACATCTGACGAATGGTTGGCAAGTGGACCAGGCCATTCTATCGGAGGAGGATCGCGTGGTCGTCATTCGCTTCGGTCATGACTGGGATCCTTCGTGTATGGTTATGGATGAAACGTTATTCAAAATAGCAGAAAAAGTTAAAAATTTCGCCGTTATTTACCTTGTGGATATCACCAAAGTTCCGGATTTCAACAAGATGTACGAATTGTATGATCCTTGCACTGTGATGTTCTTCTATCGAAATAAACACATTATGATTGATTTGGGAACAGGGAACAATAACAAGATCAATTGGCCGATTGAAGATGGTCAAGAAATGCTGGATATTATCGAGACTGTATTTAGGGGTGCACGTAAAGGACGTGGTCTTGTAGTTTCACCCAAGGACTACTCGACGAAGTACCGGTACTGATGCCTTGTTGTCCGAACTATATATGTACATAACATGCTCCCAAATTTTTCACTTGTACGCATGTGGCTGTCGCTCCTGGTTTGTTATGGTGATCTTTTTTCCAACTACTCTACACGTGCGTTTATCATTCTGAATAACTGACTCATAAGAGTTCTGCATTTTTGAAACTTGTCCTGGATAAAGTTCAACTAATTCATCATGGACGCAGAAACCGTCGGGTTTTCTTGCTTTAAATTTCGCTTATCCGTGACTTCGAAACGAGTAATTCCACATTAGAATGGGGTCTGAGGATGGTGAGAGTACTACCGTCTGGGTTGTCCCTTTTTGGTTGTGTGCACCTACTTTATGTTTCCCGTTACAAAAGTCGGCTACAAAGAGCGAAGAATACTCACCTTACTTTCAAGTTCTCGTCCAGTGCGACGATAGTAGTAGACAAGAATTACTCAGCCTGGTATGGTTCTAAAAGCTTCCTTGGAAATAGCATAGTATGCTTATCAGTGGCATCCAATAAGGCATGCACAATGTGCACATCAGTGGTAATAACAACGACGCTGTCCACCAACTTTGTTGTGCGTATTTTGACAGAAGACGTTAAACCTATGTATACAATTGTATCTGAGTTTTGCTAAGCAGACACTGGTCTGGGTGAGGATCAACTGCGTTTTAAAAATGCTTTCGTCACGTTCAGAATAAGTATGAATAGCACTGTCCCAGTAGCGGAACTGTGATCATGGGGGGAAGGCCTCAGTAAAGAGGAAAGAAAGGGGTGAAACTTGTTGCAGAGAGCGATTTCGGCGAGAGACGTCGTCGGGCATATAGGATCGGCGTCCTTTGCTCAACACAAAAACAGATCGTAGCTGGGCTAGGAGCTGACAACAAGCTAATCAGTGAGATCGGTCACGTGTCTTGTCCTCAGGGGTTTTCGACCATGCGAAGTACAGCCACGTTTATGCCATTCACGAAGGCGCCGAACTTGATATTAGCCAATAAACACTGATATGATCTACACTGTTTCGTTGACCAGAAATGCGGGTAATACGGCTAGTACGCATGCACGGCTTTAAGGCCTGTAGTGCGAACCCCTTCTTGGCAGTTCAGCCCTAGTGCCTTCTAGTTGCACGGCATCCATTCACTGAATGAATACCATGACTGAACTAGTTTTTTTTTCAGTGCTGGCGCATCGGTATCCCCGTAGCATTGCCGGGGTCTAATGAAACCGTCAGATTAGCAACATCGGGACGCGTCGGGCAGTTCTTGAAGGAAGTGGTTCATTCATAATGGGTTATTTGATCACGCCTGTCAGATCAACACACCTAGACTGTTGAGATCATTAGCCTTTTCACTTGCAGTTTTGCAACAACCCAAAAATAATTAGCCTTTTTGAGGGCAACTAAATGGTAAGACTGACCGATAAGTTCAGTAACTGCTGCTATTCCCGATTTTCACCGTAAAATAGTCTGGTGATTATCACCTATCGCCGACCATTGCTTGTTCGTCTTTGTCATTCTGAGGAGTAATAACATTTGTGCTAATAGATGGAATGGTAGATACAAGTTGATACATAGCATCGGTGTGGTCCGTCTGTTACTACTTTTTGACACAGAATGACTGCGGTTCTGCCTTATCCAAAAATTCTCAGTCTCTATCGTCCATGATCGTCTACAGACTGAAATCAGGCCCGACTAACCGAGAACGACTCTGTGATGGAGATGTGTTGAGAGAAAAATTCACCTAGATCTATCCGGGTCCGCCGGATTCACGACGTTTTGTGCTTTGGTTTGTAGTCGCATTGGGGGACAATAGATGGATTTTTTTATAGAGTCGAACAGAACTTTCTTTGGTGGTTACGTCAGTGGGGTTTAGATATCCAAACGTTGTGATGCGTTTCGGTCGGGGATAGTGGTGGAAATCTTCGCTATGGAACAAATTTCCATGGTCTCCATCCTTTGCAACTGAATCGCCTTTGAGGCGAATATCTTGCACGAACGATTCGCTGGCACAAATCACGTCCATTAGTGTTTCGGTCACTCTAGTCATCCCAACACGAATGTCGTCTGACCAATCCACAAAAGACTTTATCAGTTGACCGTACGGGCACGTCAGCAACTAGGAAGAGTTTCATTAAACTGGTTTCACTTAACAGCGCTGAAAGCGATGGTGAATAATTTGCACTACATTGCACCTTGTAGGTATAGTAACAGTCGGCAAGCAATTTCACACAGAAAAGAGCTGCACTTTTGTTCACAACCCCTATACTTAGATGTTAACTTCATTGGAATGGAAGCTGGTGGTTTCCGTCTCCTGCCATTATCTCGAACCATGTCCACTCACCCTAGTCGTGTTTGTTAAGTGGCTGGTATCCAACTGTAATTAGCAGACAAGAGGTCTAACAATGACATAATGTGAGTACCGGATGCGATGAAATATTTGAATTGTGCGTTATGCTGTTGTTCCGGTTCGTCGGTTTAGCCTCTATTCTATCACTGCGACGTATTATTTGATTGCGGTTAAATTCGTTCCGAAGGATTTTTTCGAAGTAATTAAGGCTACTGGAACTGACCGAGTACTGAATTAGATAAAGCTGTGGTCAGATGGTGGTTTCAGACCAGTTCACGTTCAAAAATACCGAATCACCTTTGTGGACAGTTCCCTGCGCAAAATTACTGCTTTCATTTAGTCTCGTTTATGTCCTCGAGGAGGGATTCCAAGTAAATTATCTTGGTGAATCAGTCGGGCAGTCTCAAGCTTTTCTTGACCATTGGGTATATATCCTTGCCCGTACAAGGCCGTATTTTCGATAGAGCCAAACTGCTAAGTTCCTGAAGACAACGCTGTGGCAGTCCCTCAGAGGTTACTATCTCACCCGGTAAGCGTAGGCGTTTAGTTCATGAGGTGCAATGAAAAAATCGCCAAAGCTTTTGTTGTTCGTTATTGTCGTAGCTCTTCTGACCATTTTGTGATTCTTATTTGTACTGTCTATTTTGTTGCGCATCTGTTTACTCTAACATCCAAACAGTTGTTTCGCCTTAGGATGGCTTCACGTTTAGTTATAGTTTCCTGTGAGAGAATTCCTGAGTCAAGTCGAATAACTTTTTTTACAGTGGGCAGTCTCCACCCAGTGTAGGAAGATATTGCAGCTACAGATCTGGCGTTAGATCGAAATATTCTTGAGCGTACACAATTTTTCCGATCCTTCTGAAATTACGAGCTGTATATATTTACGTAGTAGTCTGTCGCCACATTCTGAGAACACCAAACAGAGCCATTTATCAGTTACTCTTTAATCCATCTGTCAACAAGGTTTTTACGAACTGCGTATTGCGATTAAGCGTGTTAAATCTCTGCGTATCATGCGCATCGACCAATCATTAGCCCACTCGATCCATGATGGAGACAAAAAATTAAGCTCCTCTATAACCCAAAAGTTTATTACCTGTTGAGGCGTTTGTCGTTAGGTCCGTTACTGACCTGGAGCAGAGGCGTCAGAATTACCACGAATCATGGCAGTGGATATTCATCAGCCACTACAATGAGCTACTTACTCTTGTCTATTTACTCCTGAAAGCAAGTATCTGACGTTTATGCTGTCATCGAATGGTTGCTTTGTATGTCATTTCGTTGATCGGTCCCATATGAAACCAAATCTTTCAGTAAGGTGCTAGGAACGTAGACGAACTGTAGTCTGTTTAGTTCCCTAGTGAAATCCAGTGGGATTACAAATCATTTTTCACTAATGACAGACCGGGAGGTTGTGTGATAGGAGTTCCGCGTGTAGGACTTTCGCAGGACGCGGCTCATCTGACAAATCTTGTCTTTCGAGCTCAATGCTTCTTTTAAATCAGACTAAATGACTCAAAGAAAATCCATGATATGGTATCGCCCAACACCCGAATAAGTTTTCGCGGAATAGTTTAGTCACAACGACTTTTTTGCTTATTGTGAACCAGCTTGTGGGGTAGCTAAAGCTGCATCTTATCTAAGCTACACATACAAAGGTTTATTGATGGGGATAATAAACCAGGTGTCACTTAAGTCCACTGAAGCACCACATTGTTGCCTCTCAAAAACCTTACAAAATATGTTTGCCAAAAGGTGTATTCGTGTCTTACGGCGTTTCTGAGCTTTTGGTAGACTTTCACCAAGCTGATTCTAGCGCAGACTTAATTTTCTTTACGTGTAGCGTACGCAGTGCGAAACTAAATATCCAGCCTTCTAATAATGCTTGAGAACTACCTGTTTTATTTATTACACACCTGAGCATTGCTTTTTCTCACTATTTTACTCGTTCCGCTGCTATTCCAGTATGCCGCTTGTAAGTCATTTGTACTAATAACGCACCATCTGTGTACTTCCAAAGTTGCAGCCCACAAGCTTCGAGTTTATTTTCCTTGTAAGACCACAAAAACGTTATGCTTGTTAAGAGTTACGAGGTCTTCAATAGTAGGCCGGTCTCGTCCGTAAGTTCTTGCATTAATGATATACTTTGTGAAATGTAACGACCCATTGTCACATTTCCATGCACCACTCCCAGTTTCAGTGGATCTGACTACAAAACACGCATGTCAAAGTAATGTAGGAGGGTATAATTTGACGTTTTGTATGACCTGTGGAATTTCTTTCAGGAATCCCTTCAGTTGACTGGAGGCAGACCGTTAAAAGGTCATTCGGGCCATTCATCATGCCTTCTGATTAAGATGTTCACAAATGCACAAAAACCGTGTATGTGCTGTTCTCACCAGAGCAGCGAATTTTTTTATGGGCACCCCAATCATAATACAGTACCAGTGACCTAAACCGCCGCTTCCAGTCGACCCGAGAAATCGTTGAAAGAGATTGTTCAAAGTATCAGAAGCGTCGGGTCATGGCAGCTTGCCTCACCAGACTGCTTTACTTGGGATTTCCCGTGTTACACACTACGTATTGCTTTGTTTGTTTAATTAGATTCGAGCTGACGAGACGCCTTATTCGTGCTTCACAGGTAGGAAAGGTCTGTCTGCGATCACCTCTGCTAACGCTGCTTTTGAGCACCCTCTTCTACTTGAGCTACCACTGATTTTGTATTTGTTGAACCATTTACTTTTCGTAGGTATGGACAACAATATCAGCTTTGAAGTTGGAACCCATTGGTATGCAACATCTTGAAAGTTAGCATCAAAAATCCTGAGTCAAAGAAAATCCTGGACAACTTTGCTCGCTTCGTTCAACTGTAGCACCCTTCCAGTGCCTGACTGCCATGCCACCAGAATGAAGCACGAGGTCTGGGATATCGTCAAGTTGTCCACGCGTAGACAACTGTAGCCCCTTCCAGTGCCTGACTGCCATGCCACCAGAATGAAGCACGAGGTCTGGGATATCGTCAAGTTGTCCACGCGTAGATAGCGGAAGTCGAGAGGTAGAGGTCGTGTTTGAACCAGACCTGATCAGTAAATTCGCGCTGTAACCACTGGGTCAGGTATTTAATGGTTGCAGTTCCAAACATTTGCACAAACGGTCAGGATAGAAATAGAGCATGGAAGACACTATATCAGTTTATGCTTTGTTACCAGCTTCTAGAAGCTCTCTGCTAATGTCTGGATAGTAGGTTGCTGAGAAAAGCTGATGTACTCATCTTGCTCATTTGAGCCTCATCTCAAGAAGGAGAGTCCCTACCGAATTCTCACTTAAATGTAGACGAGTCAAGCAATTCCTATAAGAGTCGCCATCTTAGTGAGCTTTGGTCAAGCTGCTTGCATGTCGCAAGAGGGATCGTTTTTTTCTAAACTCCAGAATTTGCGTCGCACCATAGAATAAGGAAAATGATTGCATATTAATCGGAATAGAACCTGAATGGAAATGTTTGTATGAAACATACAATAAGCGTAATGCGTGTCGCAACTTGTAATTTTGAATAATAACGACATAGCTATTAAGAACAACAGGAAGCGCCGGTATCCACAGAAGCTTCATCTAAGCTTTTTCGACTTCTTTTTGCGTCGTCTACCTGCTGTTACCTTTTTTCCTTTCCACGGAAACCCTCGAAAACTTAGGGCTGCCGGTGCATTGTGTGCGATATACTGTAGATTCTCCATTGCCGCCGGAGAAAGTATATCCACTACTTGCTTCGTGGTCTTCTGAGCACGTCTTTTCGATACTTTTCCCCTTCTCTTCGTCTTCTTACTTCCCTTTTTAACTTTTGGAGGCTGAAATTGAGAGAGGATGGAATGAAAAGTTTTTAGATTGCCTAGCTTAAACATGTCTGTCGTTCCTGGCCGTTCCGTTTTGTTTAGAATTTACTACTTTATGTGGGGTTTGATTTTGGCACATACATCCTCTCAATGTATGCGGTATTTCCTGACACCAGGCTGTTAGGTTGATATTACCATAGTGGAAACCGTCCAACTCTTATCCTCCAAGGTCCGCGTTGGAAATGCTCTTCATGGCCCATCTAATGAAACAAAGGGTCCCCTACTTAGACTAAGATATAGGCCTGTGGGTCGTGCAAACTTAAGGATAATTTGCATACAGAAAAATTCGTGTCGTCATCAGCTGTACACTGATGTACAGTGGTTGCGGATTCCACTGTTTCGTTCACAGGTAGTCGCAAAGGGACGATCTCACCGTGATTCAACGATTTATGTGCATCGGTAACCCACCGATCCGTACTGGAGAATGCTTGTGCTGCATCTACAGAGTCTCCTATCAGGTTTTTCAATGGGTAGAGATCTTACAGGCAGTCTTCCTGCCATTCAGGTGTTAAAATTTGATCTACTCGAGTAGTTTCAGGCCAACCATCACTGTCTTGTGATCAGGATTTGAGCCGAATGCTTTGGTTGGAAACCCTTGTCGTTCAGCCCATATACAACCATGAACCTTACATATAAGAGTACTCTCATGCCACATCGGTCTTGGCTTCGTGACGTCAACCGGGTCGCCTGATTCGCTGCACACAGCAAGGTGGATAAGCTAGACATGTGGCTGGTATTGCCTTCTATCGTTTCTCATTCTTACCTCTTGATTTCCTACCTGCTCATGTTGACAGACACTCATGTGTACTTCAGATTTAGGCATTTCTATCAGGTGCCTATGGGATTGACACGCACGCAACAGCTTATATCTACCGTTCCCTCTTGGCTATTCGGCTCTCGTTCCCCGCTTTTTATCGCAGTCTGTAACGTGGGAACTCTCAGGTTTATCAGTCAACAAGTTCTTTTTGGGATGCTCCAGACACATGTCGACTAACATCCGTTGCATCCCTGCAGCTCGAATACGGAGAATTAGTACAGCTGCTGAACACACAGCATTCTTTCTATCTAGACACTACAAATTATGAACTTCGGGTGGTTCCGAAACTGCTACAGCGGATTGAGGTGATTTGGTATATCGTCAATTCCTCGAGCCGGCGCTTCGACACTTGACTTCTAACAGCCATCTCTGTGCTATCCGACTTTTAGCTTCGATAAGAACTCGCACAGGCCTAAATGCTGAATGTCTTTTTATTGTTTCTATGCGCACGAGCCAACTGCAAATTCGATCCATTGAAATACACCCACTTGTCTACCGTGAACTGCTGGGATATAGTCATAAAAGTGAACAATTCCAGTGCACGGTTAAGACACCGTAGTTTGTCAGAAACACGCCTCACTGGCGCGTTTAGTTTGAAAGTAAAGTGTAATGATAATGGTGAACGTCTCTTTTGGAACGTTGTACTGACCACCAATTCCTGAGCAATACTGAGTTTAGACGCAGTCGGCGCCATTGTGCTGCTGGCGTCCCCCTATTGCTGAGTGTAGTAGCTGCTTCGGCGTGTCAGAGAGTTTGTGCGTGTGTGTGTCCGTTCGTCGTTCCACCACCGATCTGGCGTGTGACTTGAGTGAATGATTAGGTGCGTGTCCGACTGATTGGCTCGCGTGAGCGCTGTGGGTTGACTGGATATGTGACTCAGTTGTTTTGCTTGCCTGCCGCGAAAGCGGACCAGTTTCGCCGCGTGTACACAGTACACCCGTGTCCGTACTTACGTGTTCTTCTGACTTACTGTGAACTACAATACTCAGCAGCCTTGCAATCACTGACCACGTCGCCATCAGGGCCCAATTGGTGACTGTCTATTGTTCTGGATTACGCAACTCGATTCATGTCACGCATTCGTTCAGCGAATATTTTTATCAACATTGCCTGGTAGGCTCCATAAACAAGGTTCCAATTTACCACTGGAGAAGCTTTGTAATCCACAGGTTAGGAAACCTACCGTAGCCTACTATGCCATACAATAAATCCATTCCCCGTCCACCTTTATTCATCCCTTTACAATAAGGCTTTCAAATAAATCATGGTTGTATGGCGGTGAAACATCGATGTTGAACACTGATGTCATACTGTCGATGATGATAAGGCAATGCATTACAAGTGACCTCCTCAGTAGACATTGGCCGTAGCCGGAATAAGAAAACCACGTCCATAAATGACGCCAAGGAATCTTCTTGTACTGTTTCTGGGCACAACACTGCTGTCACTTCTTGATGCAATGCACTATTTTTCTTCTAGTTAGGAGTATAATTAAGCTAGTCGATCGATTAGAAGACAGCTTCAACTTAGTCTGCGTGTGTACAAGGAGCGGAGGTGGGACCAGATAGTTAAAAATGGAGGAATTCAATGCGCTTTGGAAATCATGGAGGTTGTTCCTCTCAATACTTGAAACCGAACCTAAAAGACATTCCGTAAGTTAAAGATAATTTGTGAGCCTTCTGGAGCTTATGTCCCCCATCAGTTGGAGTATTACTAGGCCTTTCTTGCTTGGGACGTAATCGGGCTGCTGTGTCAGATAACCTTCTCCCGAGCTTTGTCCGAAGATGTAGAGTAGTCCTTATGTCCCGCCTTGACTAGGTTGTTCGTACTTATTTGGGATCAGGAACGCGTTTCAGAGAGTTTGAGTCGACCGTCAGGAGTACCTATCAAGAAAGATAACCAAATCGGCTGTCTCACGGCTCTTGACTTCCCCCATATTGTGGCACCAACCTTCGCTCTAGAGAAGCAAGTCCAAAAAACCTAAGCAGGATTTTAAGATGGTAAAGGGTGCGTCGGCCATATCTTTGTATTGTGTCAAGGGCTTGAACAGTGTCATATGTACCCCCGTCTATTAATCGCCGTTTTTTTCAACTTTGTGGGGATCTTCGACAGGTTAGTAGATTAGTTCTTCTAAAGCATCTGTCAGATAGGAATGTCTCTGAATTTGTAAACATTCTTTGTGCCTTTATTTCCACAATTTCGGTCTGGTTTGTGTGTACAACGGGCTGTCCAGAAGCCTACTGACAAATGATGGCTACCCGCTCTCCTCTCACGCTCAATTTTGTCACTACGTTTATCAACGTGTACCCACTCCAAGCGACCGACGTTTGCCGATAACAAAGGAACATACGGGAAAGTATTCGCTATCGTTGATGTGTGGATTCAGGAGTAGTTGTGACATCTTTACTAGATAGATAGGTAGAGGAAGCTATGCAAGGAGGGAAATATTTTGGATCCACGCGCACTGCAGAAGTCCATGTTTGTCTATATGTCCCGCCTAAGGACCCCCATCTCAGGGAATAGCAATGAACAGCTTAGCTGAGTTTGTTTGGCACTTGGTCGCGCAGTTCGTTTACCTACCCTGGCCCGTTTTCCCTTTCACTGCGGCAGTGATAAAGCGGTGTTCTAGGAAATCAACAGACTGACTTGCGAAGCAAGTGAGTAATTCATCGTAACCCCTAGAATGTGATTATTTCGTCTATCATGTGAGACGAACATTAGACCTGCTTCATTACTGCTTATCCGATGTTTATAGTAAAATAAGACAACGGTCACTCACTCAAAGACTTTTGATGTGTTCGCCTTGCAGAAGCCAGTTATCTGGCCCATATAGCAATATGTGTTGCACTGCAGTATCGTAGACTCGGTCGTTGACGGATAGAATTATCTTCAGCTTGGCCACCGAGAAAGACAGCAATACAGGTAGATAAAGTTCTATGCCACTTAAGTATTCAGCTTGGCACCGAGAAAGACAGCAATACAGGTAGATAAAGTTCTATGCCACTTAAGTAGGCTCGTTTGCAATCCTGAGGTTCGGGTTTGATTCTATTCGGTCTTGCTACAGCGCTCTAAACTTCGGAAGTGTGACTCCTGGGGCATAATTATTTAGATTATTTGATACGGCTGATGATGGCCATGATTCTTTGGTCACTTTTTCTCTAATCGGTACAGCAACAGTAGGCTGTCAGCTGTGCGGCCAAAGGCCCTCCAACTGCTGTGAAGAGGGTTGGATAAATACCACCAGGTCCCGGTGCCTTCCGTTGATTTAGGTGGACATCTGAAGTGCTTTTCAAACTGCTTGGTCCAGCTGTTTATACGGCGTCGAAAAAAACAGCGAACCGTTTTTTACTTATCATCCCACTGTCAGCTGCCGTCATTTGAACATTCAGTCAGATTATCCCAATTCTTGGCTTTCATTACTCATGAGCGTTCTTGTTCTTTCCGCCGACTCTTCACCGTGTTACACTAGATTGATTTATGTGAGCTTTCGTACTAGTCGCATGTCTATACAGGTTCCATGGCATTAGTCAGGATTTCGATTTTGCCTATCCGTCATATAGGGATGGTCGGATAGACAGCTGTGAACTCCATGAGCAGAAATTCTTCTTCATTCTACCATGCCTTATCAATAACCAGTATTGCGTTGGTTCTGGGTCTTGTTGACGTAACTCCGGCCGTGCTAATTCCAAGAAAATTAATCGCCTTGCTTTTTCCGACATGCGAGGACCTAGGGGGAAACAAACCACCGGACGTTGTAATGTTGCATGAAATGAATAAAGTTTTGTACCCAAGAGGCATCGACAGTCTTAAACCGCGTCCATTCACACAGACGAATCTCGATAAGAAATATCATTCCCGGCATCAGAACAGAAATCCGTTGAGACATGAGCTGACATTAAAAACGGGCACCAGTTTTGTATTGAATGACGGTGTGGTCCATTGAGTTGAACATCTGAGGGACACAAGTCCGACTGTTCAATACCATCCAATACGGGAAAGTGCCTTCATCCCCAAAGATGTCTTCAACTCCTGTACTACCAGCAACCGATTCTGGATTACCAACAACAGATATTACTTGTACAGTAAATGAGCTTATCTTTGGCATTTTAAGATGAATGCATATAACTTACTCTCACATATGCGTTTGATACCCACAGTATACCTGAACTGTAAGAGGCTATAGGGTCTGGGCGAGCACAGTTAACTGTACTCGGGGAATTCCATGACCAGTCAGGTACAGAACCCGGACCTCAAAAGCTCTTGTGAAGAAACACTCAAGTACTTTATCAGTTTTGTTATGTTTATTGGTGATGATCTGAATCTGACTAGGCTTCAAAATCAAGCACCTAATGCTTGTAAGTCGGAAAGCCGTAAAAATGGCTCACTAATCGAAACGGGTAGCTTGTCCGTGTGTGTTGTTAGTTTATTAATAGATGGATTCCTGTCGTAAGCCTTCTGCTCTTGAGTTTACAGGCACTTTATTATTCGACAATTACCAAGTTTCACATGTATGGTCGTTCGTAAATGCGACGTCCTTGAAGTCCAGCGCATCAGAGCGTAGTCAGGACTTCCTTGTTTTAAACAACCAAAGCACCTGTCAAACTCGCAATGTGTAGGTGTCAGCAGTTGTCGAAGGTGTGTCCGAGGCGTGTAGCTCTCCCTGAATGGGGTTTACGCATTCGACACAAGTAGTCAGTATGTACAAAGAAAGTTCTGCATATTCTTTTGTTTCTTAACTGCACGCCCCAGCCTTTCCCTACCTACCCAGTTAGCACCAGTGCAGAAATTTCTGCAGAATGTCTGCACCCGGATGCGGAAATTTCCGCACAATATCTGCACACTTCTGCACCCGGGTGCGGAAATTTCCGCAAAATATTTGCACACTTCTGCACCTGGGTGCAGATTCCCTGCGGAAATGAAGTAAATTTCCGCACACAGTCCGCACCCGGATACGGAGTTAGTGCAGACGTTTCCGCACCCAGTCCGCACTTATCTAAAGTCGTCCG